CTGGGCTTATTTTTAGTTTCTTTTATTCCTCGAGGAAGTCTGTCTGCTGCTCACCTCACCACAAGTCGAATGCTTCCTTCTGGTTTTACGCTGGCTTAACTTTTGCCCTTCGGTCACATCTGGTGTTCTTCTTCACCACATTGAACACCTATGTCTTTTTAAAGGGCCCGGCAGGATATATAAAAGGAGACGCAAAAGACTTTAAAACAAGGACGAGTTTTCGGGTTTCCAGCCTAAGCAGGGGGTTGGTCTAGAAGACCTCCAAGGTCCCTTCCAACTCTGTTATTCTATTTTATTCTGTTTTATTCTATTCTATTCTTCTCTTCTATTCTTTTCTTCTATTCTATTCTATTATTCTATTCTATTTTATTCTATTCTATTCTTCTCTTCTATTATTCTATTCTATTCTATTCTATTCCTATTCTATTCTAATTATTCTATTTTATTCTATCATTCTATTCTATACTATTATTCTATTCCTATTCTAATTATTCTATTCTATTCTAATTATTCAATTCAATTCAATTCTATTCAATTCCATTCCATTCCATTCCATTCTTCTACTTTCTTCTATTTTATTCTATTCCCAAGGAAAATTTGGAATGATTTCAGTAAAGCGGAAACTTTTTACCTGGAGCTATTCAGGAAAAAAAAAAAGCTATTAAGGGACGGTATTCATATTTGGTCTTTTTAAATTTCCCCCCCTCTTCCCTCTGCCTCGTCCTTCCTTTAGTCCTATGCCTTTGGAAGCATAAACCCTATTTTCAAGGGGGGGTAGTTTTTAGAAGACCTTTTTTCCTCCCCTTTCTGCCCCATCCATCACTTCGAGCAACAGTTTCTAGAGCCATTCGACCTGCTTTTTAGCATCAAAGCTCACATCTTATTTCCAAAATAGATTACCCCGTAGAGCAGCGTGGGCCCTGCCCTAGGAGATCCTTATCGGGGTGTATAGTCAGTTCCAGATTAAATTTACTTCCTTTCCCAAAATATGATTTCCTCTCCGTTTTAACCCTTTACCGCTCAGAGAGGAGGAGGGGGCAGTTTTTGCGCATGGCTCTATCTCTTGGGCATGGATGGAACCCACGATCTTTGTGGACTTAAAATGACCTTCACCTGTTTGGGCAGTCCAGGCCTATCTCACTCTGCAAAGCAAACATTTGAAAGGGCAGGAAGTGCCAAAAAAAAAAAAAAGCAAAAACATGGTCAGGATTAACATGGCAGGTTGTGAAATCTCCCCATCTGTTGCATAAACCAAATTCAGCCTCTGGTATTTCTTTGTAAAGAAAATAGGATGGTTGCAAATCTTGGCTGCATTAATCCAGATGACCACCAGGGGGCGACCAGATGCCACTTTGGTGGCCCTCTGTGGAAGTGCAACTCCAATCTTGCAACCTTTCCAGAGAAAGCTAGAATCAAGGCCCCCTGGTGGCCCTTTGAGGCCTCTGCATTAACAACGGCACACACAACATACAACACGTGTATATAGTAATTGTGCATACAAGCACAACCTACCGCAGGAATAAAATACGCAAGCCTTTTGAATCCAGAAACTGCGTTTAGCTGAGGTGGGACACACCCAAGAACCTCAAAATCAAGGTTAGATATGTGTCGCTTAACAACTTAACCTGGTTGTTGAAATTAAGCTGCATCTCAGATTGTCAAAAGACCTTGACTCTGGTGTGTGTGTGTGATCAAACATCTCCACCTTTCTGACGTTCAATTATCCAACCATAGTGGTCTCCATCTTTGGTGTCTTGAGAGAAACAGGTTGATCCCTTCTTGTGGAGGGGTTAACTGGCCATCTTGCATGCTGCAGAGTGCTGGACTAGATGATCCTTGGGTGTCCCTTCCAGTTACACTGTCCTGATTCCCATTTCTCTGTCCTGCTCCCCCTTTGCAAGATCTATCTGCTTCCTTTGCCAAAAACCCCCCAAAGTTTTCAGAAAAGGTGGTGCCCTTTAAGCATCACTCCCTGGGCATTTATTAAAAGTACCAGAATTCTCCCAAGGTAAAAAAGAAATTCCCAAACCAACCCTCCAGAAATGGATTTTTTAACATCTCTATTTCAATCTGAAAGCTGGTTTTGAGATTCTTTTTCAAATAGATATTTGACAATATCAAAACAAATATTATTAAAGAATTTACAATTAAGAAAAACTTTTCCCAAGGTATTTAAGATTTTTAAAGGATTTTTTAAGTTTTAAAAAGTTTTAAAACGTTTTAAAAGCTTAAAAAGTTTTAAAACATTTTTTAAAACTTTTTAAAGAGTTTTAATTTTTTTTTAAAGATTCTAAAAAATGTGAAAGGGTTTTAAAACAAAGTTTTTAGAATTTTAAAAAGATTTAATGATTCTTAAAAACTTTTAAAGTGTTTTTTTTTTAAGTTTTCAAAGTTTTAAAAAAGTTTGTAAAGGTTCTTAAAAAGTTTTAAAGGGTTTTAAAGTTTCAAGTTTCATTAAAAGGGTTTTGAAAAAGGCTTTTAATTTTTTAAGATTTTAAAGAGATGTTGGCTTTCAGATCGTTTTACAAAGGAGACCCTCAGTTAAATTGGGGCAGATGGGGAACAGGGAAGAAACCCAACCAACAGGGGAGCCCACCCCATCACCCTCAGGGCTCCTGTTAGAATGAGGCAGAAAACCAGAAGCCCCTGACAAGAATCAAAGGAAGAAGTGACAGAAAAAATCTCACCTACCTTTTTGAATGAAGACAGCTGAGCCTCGGTTTAGTCAACCTGGTGCCTAGTTGAGAATCAACCCGGCAGTTTTTCCATCTGCATAAATGAAGTTTCGCGAAATCGGATGCCCGCCGGTGCTTACCACAACAGCTGCTGCACGGAGACAACCCACCCCGCATCGGTCGCATTAAAAAGAGACCACAACCCCCCCAACACACCACCACCAAAAGTCTCAGGAAATCAGGACCCCCCTTGCACCCTCCCAAGCCGTGCCACCCAGACGTCTTCGAAGAAAAGTGAATACCAACCCAAAGAGGCAAATTTTCAAGTCCACAAGACAGGAAGGAAATGTAATTAAAAAAAAAAAGAACGCACACCCACAAAAATTAAAAGTGCAACTTTTTTTCTTTTTCAAGCGAAGGGATCCAGCGGGAAACGTTTGAAAAAGTTGGGGAAAGAGAAAATAAAATAAATTAAGGGGTGGGTGAGGTTGATAAAAATGTCATTCCTTCATTTTTGGGGGAAGATCGAATTCGTGGTGAAAAATTCAGCTGCTTTTTTTTAGCGGTCGGAGGAAGATTATTAAAAAGGTTAAGAGGGAGATAAACGCGATGGAGGGTTTTTTTTGTCTTGAGAATGTGATTTTGGTGAATTTTGCTGAAGAGCCAGTAATTTTTTTCTCGAAAAAAAAAAAAGGGAGAGAAAAAAAAACCCACACCCCGCCTTTTATGCAAATAGATTCAAAGGCTGAGTTTGCAATGGAGGTGAAAGACGGATTGGAAATTATGAGCGCAGGAGGGAGCGACTGACGCAAAGGACCAGGGTGGGGTTTCCCCCTCCTTCGTAGAAAAAAGGCGATCACCCTAGATAATACGGTTAAAAAGGGGCCTCGGATTGGCACCTATGGGTACGGGTGGTCCTCGGCTTACGACCAAAATGGGGAGCAGAATTTCTGCCCTTCTAAGCAAGGCGTTTGTTAAGCGAGCTGCGTCCGATTTTAAGACTTCTTTTTTCCCCATGGTCATTAAGTGAAGCAGTTGTGAAGTGAAGTCCAGCTTCCCCATTGGCTTTGCCTGTCAGAAGGCCGTAATAAAGCGTTCGTGTGACTCCGGGCACCGTCATAAATATGAGCAAGTTGCCAAATGTCTAAATTTGGATGTTTCGGTTGTGAAAAATGGTCCTAGGTCCCTTTTTTTCGGGGCCGTTTTAACTTCAGTCCCTAAATGAATGGTCGTTAAGTCGAGGACGGCCAGTCCCAAAGCAATTCGGGCAATGAATTCCACTAAAGGAAACCGGCAAAGCGAGCCCCGTCTGCAAAAACTCAGGCGATTGTGTTTCACATCCATATCCTGGTTTGTCGAGCAAGCCGCCATGGGCTGGATTTCCCACTGTAACCCAGCAAGCCATGATGATTTGCTGTCATGCCCAAACCCAGCCACGAACCCCCCACCCACCCCTCCTCCACAATTGCACCCCAGGGCACGAAAAAAAAAATATCCAAAAATTTAAATCAGCCTTTAATTGGGGGACCAATTATGCCAACCAAAGGACATTGGAAAAAAAAAAAAGGGGGGGGGGGGGGGGGGTTGTAAAATCAAGACCCCCCCGCCCAGCGTCTTGGGGGAGGGTAGCCACAAAAGCCACGGCACGCCATGGTAGAAAAAGAACCGGACTAGTTACACCACCCCCCTTCTCCTGTCCCGCCGCGAGAATACCAGCGTAATAAATAAGCCACGTTATAAGCCAACGCAAAACGCAACACACCCTGAATTAAAAAGGGGGCTTTTGCTAGGAAAAACAAACAAACCAACATCCTTTTGGAGTTACGTCAAGTGGCCGATATATTTGGGGGTGAGCTTTTGCTCCACCATGCGGGTGGGGCCCCCAATTTAGTTTTTCATCCATGGAAGAAGTCAATTGTCACCCCAAAACTTGGAAGGGCCACGGCGTCCCCGACAAAAGGGGGGGCGCAGAGGGGCAGTGGCACCCCCAAAGATAGCCTCAGGGTCACCGTATTGTCATAACCACAGGCTGCTGTTCCGTTTTTCCTTCTTCCGATACGCCCGGCTTACAAAACCCAGCAGAAACGTCGCCCTTTCCGTAACCGTCCGCTTTCCCGTTCCTCGGATCGTTTTTGTTATCTCTTCTTCGCTCGTTCCCCTTCTCCGACCTTCTGGTTCTTTCTCCTTCCTTCCCCAAAAAACCCCCAGCCATGAACCCGTGCTCCCCGTCTCAGGACGCTGTTGCTGGACCGGATGATCTCTGATGTTGTTCTTACAACACTTTCCTTGTGGCTGTGTGCACTTCCTCGGCAGGGATGGGAAGACCCCCCCGTACCGCGACGGGAGCAAGACAGTACCCGTTACCCAGGCGGGATAATCGAGGCTGGAAACTCCCCAATCCCTTCTTGGTTTGGTGCTCCAATGGAGTGCTGCGCACCGCACGGAGCAAGCTTGAACGAGCAAATTTCAGGTGGTCTGAAAAGTGGATTTGAGAAGGGGCGACCATGCCGGGTGACGCCCACGCCCAAGAGGGAGTGACAAGGCTCAGTTCCTGATATGGGGTACTGAGGAAGCCATATTTAGAGGAGGAAGAGCCGAGTGAGGGAAAACAACGGAGAAAACATTGCACGGAGACCCTCTTGAATTATCCTTCTCCGTCCTTTGTGTCCAGAGAGGAGGATTGAACACGGAGGAATAAACAGTGCAAAAGGTAAAACTTGGGGTTCAAATTCGAAGTTCCTGGGAAACTGTTGCTGGGGGGGACCCCCCCCCTCCTGCCCCCCGCTTTCCCATTGTCTCTCATGTCCTCGGGCCAAGGGTGCACAGCAGCTGCAAACACGTCGATTGCACGTACAGAGAAGTGGCGCCCGTTTGGGATGCCGTTCCGTCTTTGCGCCCACCCAATTGGGGCGGCTGGGTGGTCTCGATGCCCCGGTGGGGATGGGGGTGGGAACCGCAGAACCGGACCTTTGTCTCGCACTCGGTTCTCTTCTTCCGACACTTCTCATACCTCCCTGCCAGAGATGGGAGAAAACCAGATGTTACAACCGTTCGTTTTGGGACCGTTTGAAGTTACAACGGAATGGAAGAAAAGTGATTTGCGACCCTCGTAAAACCCTTGCAGGGTCTCGGTGGTCACGTGACCATGATTTCTGTGGTTAAGCACGACCGTTCTTAAAGTGAGTTGGGCCCATTTCACAGCTTTTATTGCCACCGTTAACGGAATCCCTAAAATTGTTAAGTGGGTAACCCTGTTGTGGTCCGCCGGCAGCCTGCAGAGATGGCAGGAGAGTCGGACAGTGGGGAGAAACATGGGCCAGTCCAGGAGTGTGGGGAGGACTCGAACGAGGGTTCTGCCTCCGACACAGAGATGGGGTCAGGGCCATCGGAGAGTCATGTGCCGACTCCGGAGCCTCCAGAATCTGAGAGTAGCGAGGCAGAGGAAGAGCGGGAACCTGTTCCCAGTGCACGCTTGCGCAGAGCTGCCGGAAGGCAAGAACAGTTAAGACAAAAGGGGCAACTCGGGAGTAAGGCTTGGAGGTGACTGGCCCCTCCCATAAGACATAAAGGAGGAGCAAAGGGACAGGAGCCTTTGCAGGAAGCAACTTTGCTCATACAGGTGGGTTTGAAATTTGAAGCTCGGTGTTGAATTTGTGTTCCGTTTTGGCCTCGTATAACTAATTGGACATTTAGTCAACGGCAGCATTTCAAGGAAGATAAAGGTGGGTGCTGATCAGACTTATCTCGAAGGACTTTGGCAGACTTCCATGGGACTATTTACAAACCGTTTGAGACTCATTACGGGCTGTGAATGACTAAAATTCACAGCCGTTGAAATAAAGGAAAAAGGGTTTCGGGACGGTGGGTTTGTTAGTGTCCCCATAAGCCTTGGTCAGAACAAACCCCGTTGCTAAGTGAATCGGGCTTCGCCCATTGACTTTGCTGCACATGTGACTGTCATCAATACGAGCCAGTTGTCAAACGTTTGGATTTTTGATCACCACAATTCAGCATCAGCTCTCAGCCCGGTTCAAAGTCCCACCCGCCACCCGCACTCACGAGGCCGTAAGCGTGGAGTTGAGCAGCAGCGTGGTGTGGAGGCGGTACAGCTGGCCCAGAGTCAACTTCCGGTGCTGAACGGCCGGCGGATCTGAAAACGCCTGCTGGTCCTCTGACAGCTCCTCGCTCGGAGGCTGCTCCTCGTCCTCCGGCCAACACGGCGACGGTGCTCCGTTCGAGACGGCCGCCATCAACCCCGGAGAGACGCAGGTCGTCTCCTCCGCTTCGGAGAGTTGGGAAGCGCTGCTGTTATCACTGCTGCCGCTAAGGGCCCTGCAGAGGGGCTGGCCTTGGGGCTCCGGCATGGGGGGAGCCCCGGACAGCAAGAGCGGAGGAGAAAGTTCGGACAAACTCTGACTCTGGATGAGCAACAGCGAGGGCGACAGCACCTGCGCGAGGTTGGCTTCGGATTTGGACTTCAGCACCTTGGTCTTGGCGGGCAGGAGCTGGACGGGGGTCTGGCGACGCAGCTTTGGGGAACCGGTCTTGGCGACATCCTCCTCCTCCTCCTCTTCGTCCTCCTCCTCGGCAGCGGCTGTATCCCCCTGCGGCGGCTCCCCCAGTTCGTGTAGCGAGCCGAGGGAGAGGGTCCTGTAGGCGCTGTCGAACGACGAGCAGCTGCAGGGGCTGGGTTCCGGTTTCGACAAGGCTCCGGGGGTGTCGGGGATCCGGTCTCCCCCCTCCAAGGAGGGCGTGGCGGAATTGGGGAGGGGGCAGAGGCTCAGTTCCTCCACTGGGGGGAGGAACTGGCTCCCGTTGAAGGAAGGCGGAAGGAATTCCTCGCTGGTCTCGGTCGCGAGGATGGAGATGGTGTCGGTGGAGCTGTCAGAGAGGCTGCAAACCAAGATAGGAAGCTGGGTCAGTGTGCAAGTCAGTGTGCAAGTTGGGTGAGGGTTGCCTCCAGTGAGGTTTTTAAACCCCCCCAAGCCCCCCCAGCAGTGGTGGGATTCAAATAATTTAACCACCGGTTCTCTGTCCTAATGATTTCTCCCAACCAGTTCACTAAACTGGTCAGAAAGTTAACAACCGGGTCTGGTGAACCGGTGCGAACCGGCTGAATCCCACCACTGCCCCCTAGGGACTTACCACTGCTGGGAGTCCAAGCTGCTGGTGCTTTTCCGGAGGGTGGGAGGGGAACTGGCCCCCGAAGAGTCCCAGTTGCCTTCCTCCTCCTCCTCCTCCCCCCCTTCTACTTCCTCCTCCTCCTCTTCCTCTACCGCCTTGGCTTCCACGACTTGAGGAAGCCGCTGGTTGCGTTGGAGCTCCTGCAGACGCAGCTGCTGCAGCTTATTCTGTGGGACGGGAGAGCAGAGAAGTGTCACAAAGGTAGACTCTCTTGGGACGGGGGAGATCCTTTGGTCCCAGAGCCAAGGGTGGATTGGCTCGAGAGGGGAGCAGAGGACAAGAAATAAGAGGGTTCAAGGGGGGAATCTGGGAAGGGTTTTTTTAAAAAAAAAATCAATAAAAAAAATCAGGAAGAACACAACAACACAAAAGACATTAATTAAAAAGGGGTCTTTAAAAAATAGCCCAAGATATAGACACAAAGGAAGAGAGGGAGGGAAGAAGAAAGGAAGGGAAATGGAGGGAGGGAAGAAGAAAGCAAGGAAGGAAGGAAAGAAAGAAAGAGAGAAAGAAAGAAAAAGGGAAAGAAAAAAGAAGGAAGGAAGGAAGGAAGGAAGGAAGGAAGGAAGGAAGGAAGGAAGGAAGGAAGGAAGGAAGGAAGGAAGGAAGGAAGGAAGGAAGGGCTGTATTATGCTAATCGGTGTTCAGCTGGAGGTCTTTCTGTGCATCCAGGTTGCCTTTTTTGTTTCCTCCTGACACCCCTGGGGAAGAGCCTCCAGAGCCCAGCAGTGCCTACCTGAGCGTTACAGACAGCCTCAACCCAGCTCCGGCACAGCGACTGCCCACTGGTCTGGAAGGTGTAAGCACACACAGCGCTGCCAAACTCGTTCAGGTAGACCAGCAGGAAGGACCCTGGGGGGAGGGAGGGGGGAGTAACACACAGAGGGCAAAAAAATCCCTTAAAACCCCCGAATTACGGGAAGCCCCCCCAATTTACAACAATTCACTCAGTGACCAAAACTGCAACGGCGCTGAAAACTCACACTGTCCTGGCTAAAGGACACCAGCGATCCGCTTAACACCTGTGGCAGGAAAGGTCATAACATGGGGGCAAAGCTTGCTTAACAGCAGCCTCACTTAACGACGGATATTTTGGGGCACAATTGTGGTCGTAAGGCAAGGACGACCTGAGGGTGGCACCTCCAAACCGACAAATAAAAAAAATAAAAGTTTTTAAAAGTTGGGAATTCCGATGGGGAGCCTTATCGGTGTGTGTGTGTGTGTGTGTGTGTGTGTCACAGGTGTGGGTGTCTCACCTGGATCCCTGAGTGCCCGACACACCAGCTTGTCAATCAGGAGGGGCTGACGGACGACTCGAGTGCGTTCGGCCTTCTTGGCCGGCTTGGTGATGAGGAAGAGGTCGGTGAAGAGGAAGCAGTAGACGTCCATCTGGCCAGAGAGAGAGAGCGAAAAGGGGGGGGGGGGGAGAAGCAGGCGGGGAGGGGGGATCTTCTGCCACGGAGACCCCAGGGGAGGGACTGGACCCTGGAGCGTTGGGAGATGTCTGTGGATGGATGGGTGGATGGATGGGAGGGAAGGAGGGAGGAAGGGAGATAGGAAGGAATAAGAAAGAAATACAGAAAGGAGGGAGGGAGGAAAGAAGGAAAGAAAGAAAGAGGGAGGGAAGGAATAAGAAAGAAAGAAAGAAAGAAAGAAAGAAAGAAAGAAAGAAAGAAA